GCTTACGGTGGCCGAAGATCATCTCGCGATACCCGAAGCCTGGAGTGTTTCACGACGGCTAGGGCGTGAGGAGTTTCGTTTCCTCGCGCGCCCTGCCTCCTCCTTAGCTAGTATGACTGCTTCGCAGAAGGAGGAGACGGCATCCAAGTCCTCTCTCCGTGCCATCATCAACAGCCTATAAATGCCCACTGCTGAGCAAAGCCTCTTCTCACACGGAGAAGGTTTGAGCATTAATCACCACGCTTGCTCAATGCGGGTTGGCGATTACAAACTTATAAGCGCCATCTCTCTCCGTGCCATGGTCTGATCCAAAGAGGGCGCGAGAGGTCGCCATCACCGATTACATCCCTGGGGACACGGCGGTGCTCAGCTCATGCAGGACACACTGCCACCGTATGCTCCACCGTTTCCTCATTGTTTTGACACATGAGTTTGGAATTCCTGTGGCGAACAATGGAAATAGGATCGCTTTAGGACATTTTTTACCAATCGTAACCTCATTTGTAAAAAGTCAGTACCAAATTTAACAAGAGCATTTCAGTTAGAGGCGTGATGAGGTGTAATTTATTGGACTTATAATCTAGCGTGATTTCCAACAAAACTATATAACTATTATTGAGGTTTCGGACTGTCCTCCTCTATGCATCCATATTTAAATATCCATACTTCCAGGGACACCCTGTATAAGTGTTTATTAATCAAGTTTCTATCATTCACTGTGACAATGCACGGTGACGTCACAAAATCAGTGAACCAAGGACACCTCCTAAATCATCCGAAAATGATAATAGTTTTACCTTATTTATTTCAGTTATTAAACAAAGTTGTGCAATTGTTATATATTTTTGTTATACATTGTTATATATTTTTTTCGGTTTCATCATCACATATAGAAGCTGACTGACTGCCTATTACATCTACATATATTAAAATATTTGACATCAGCTCCTCATACACCTTCCAAATGTCCGGGACCCTGCGGTCCCGTAATGGATAGCATAACTAAAAATATTAGGTTATCTTGTTAGACGGCACCAAAAAAACACTTTACTATAAGCTTGTTTAGATTTTATTTATAAAAATATTGCTAGGTACAAAATATTATTTGAAAAAATATAAAATCACATCGTCTCATTTGAATTCGTTGTAGTCATGTGGTCTTCAGGTAAATTAACTCAGTAACAGTCTGGATGTCAAACTCGACATGAGGCGTTCGAAGGCCAGTCGCAAATCTGTAAAAAAATAATATTACTTAATTGTTACAAAAAAATATCTTAAAATTTTTGCTAAAAATATTGCATTTGCATTTTTGTCCCGGTAAGTAATGTCTTGAAAGCAGCGTATTCTCATTGTAGGCATCATCCTGTTTCGCGGATACGTTTAAAAGATTCTAAATCCGCATAACAATTACGTCGAGATCAGAAACAACAATTTGCGAGACACACTTCACACTATAATTGTTCCGTTCGGGTATCGAACCCACGACATATTGTCCGGCAGCCGGTTTAAACCAGTGCAGGCGCATTAACTGAAGAAGTTATCGGGATATTTGTTTCAATTATTAACTAACAATTCTAAAATGGTCTCTAGTACTTCAGATGACTTTACTTTGTCCTTCGCATATTTTCAAAATACGTAATCAATTCTAGCTAACTACACCGGGCTATCGGTGGTGTTGAAATAGTAAAAATTAAATCAATATTGTTAGTTTTCCGAACATAACCAAAAGTTTCCGATTGTTGTCACATGTGGCGCTAGAGCATTCTGTCTGTTCTCTGTAATCTTTACCGGCTAATAAACGTATTGTTAAACTTTCATCTCGTTTATTATTATTCTACAGGTGGCAATGTGTTACACTGTAAAAAGTGACCATGAATATGCAACTTTGACTTACCTGTCTGAATTCGTTGAAATGTAAATTGGCAGGACAACGTCTCAGCACTCGACTTCCCCAGACACAATGGTAGAAGGCGGAACAATCAGTTGGGTGAGGCAGCAACCAGTGGATGCTTGGGTCTATAGGGCATCCATTGGGTAGACTAGGTGGTCGAGTTGTAAATACGGTGGAGGAGGGGGAGTTGGTGCTGGTGGAACGCGGAGTCGTAGTCGTAGTCGGAGTCGTGGTCGTAGTAGTCGAAGCAGTAGTTGAGGTAGTTGTCGAGCTCGTCGTTGTTGACTGGTCAGGAATATTACGGTCCTCACAATCTACGTTTCGTGGCCAGTCACAACGCCATTCTTCCAGGTTGAACCAAAGGTCCGGCGGGCAACTCATTGCAACGGGTTTACCAAATGTACATTTATAAAACTTATCACAATCCTCGTGTCTCAGCAACAATTCAATTTCCCAATTAGTTTCCTGTTCTTTCGGGCATTCTTGTGATTGGGCCCGCCCCACGGCCGCGCACACGATGACCAACAATGCAATTATTCCTAAAAATATAAATAATTTAAATCTAAATACGAAAAAATAATAATTAATTTCAAAAATGTAATATGGTATTTTATGTTTATAGTATAGAACACAGGTCACAGAATTTAAAAAAATTACAGTCACGAACCTTTCATTGTGAGTTACAAATCCGACTGAATGCTCCAGCACCACGTCCAATTAGTTTTATACCTTCACTAAGATAGGAAACCATGTTCTTTTAATCTATAAGATGAGTAGATGATCAATTACTGCATTGCTTATCAACATTTACCGGTAGCAGACTATCGAAGCTGTGATATAAATTTATCACTTTCGATTTGATAAAGTACAATACAATACTTCATACAACAAATTAGTAATTAGATACATGATAAGCAGTAAGTTTAGGATTATTAGGCCATTCAGGCACATACTGTTATGTGAATAAGAGACATTCAGTTACTTACTGGTGCAAAGTATAAAGTTATGAATCTTGTTTCAATATCACGAATTAATGTTGGTTATTAAAATTATTAAGTTAATGAAATCCTATTCGTGTAAAACTGAATTACTTAGAAAACTGAACTTTCCGTAGATACCATAAAGATGATTCAGTACCCGCTTATTTTAAAAGTACGTATTTCTTCTCATTTGTTATCGAGAACAAATCTAGACCATTTTGTATTCCGATAAATAAGTATTTAATTTTCACCGAACGACGTCGCTTAGGATAGAAACGAGATAGAAATGAAAAAAGAGCTGCTATTCTTACACACATTTATGATTAGGAGAATTTATATCTTCCAGGTTGCATATAATGAGAGCATGTGAGCGCTAGTATTTTTAATAAAATTATTAATCATTCATATTCTATAAGACAAATTTCATTGATTTGTTTTTTCTGCCTCGTTGGCCGAGTTGTCGCAAGTGCGACTGCCGGGCAAGGGGTCTCGGGTTCGATTCCCGGGTCGGGCAAAGTATTACTGGGTTTGTTAAAAATCTCAGTAGTAGCACGTAGTCTGGAATTGTGCCCGGTATATGGCAATAGGCTCACCCCCTATTACATGGGACTCATAACATAAATAGTGAAAAGTGGGTGTTACTTCTATGTGCACCTCTGCCTACCCCTTCGGGGATAAAAGGCGTGATGTTATGTTATTATATGTTATGTTGTTTTTTCAATAAAATGTCGTCCACTTCACGGCAACATCTATAAAGGGTTGACTAATATGCCCGAATAAAGATGGTAGAACTTTAGTAATTTTTGGTAAAATATGACAATCAAACAAAAAAATAATAATTACAGTGAAGGCACAGCATGAAGGTACTATTGTGAGGTAACAAGACTGTATGCTGGTGCAGACATGATTAATTTATACCCGTTACCTTGGTGCTCGTATCACGTCGTAACAAACCCAACTTCTCAGTTAAACTCTGCGTTACAAATTCGCTGTACTGCCGTTGTCCAGCAAGAAGCGCGCAGTGTCTAGACATTAAAATAAAATTTAGTGTACTACCCTACACTAATAGGGTAGTACACTAATTAACTAGTACACGGGGACTACCCGTGTCTAACCGGGGTTAACACAAATCAAATCACTTTAATGCATCTGTAGTGAATAGAATTAGTCCCTGTCGGATACTGCAAAAGCACTTAAATGATACTTACATCATAGCGATCATTTCCGGGGGCCTGTAGTGAGTTTGCAAGTTATTCATTGTTTGCTTATAGTTGTATGTTAATATTGGCCAGGGGCCCCTACCCCTGGATGGATGGATGCCGACTATTCATACTCTACTATATTGAACAATAGTCCTTCATCTACCAGGGGTTGTTGTTTGGGTGCCAATGGTGCACTTCCATAATTCATACATACAGAGATAATAAGGAATTTGCACGTAATTTTTAAAGACTAAAGATTACTTTTGACTCCCAAGTTAGACAAACAACTTAATATTTTGTACTTCGATTGTTTTGACACATGAGTTTCGAATTCCTGTGGCGAACTATGGAAATAGGATCGCTTTAGGACATTTTTTTGCCAATCGTGATCCATAACAATCATAACGTTATCTATGTATGTACATGATTTATAATCTAGCGTGATTTCCAACAAAACTATACAATAAATATTGATGATTCGAACTGTCCTCCTCTTTGCAACTGTTCCATTTGATCCATACTTCCAGGGACACCCTGTATAGGTGTATAATAATCAAGTTTCTATTAATCACTGTGACAGAGCACGGTGACGTCACAAAATAAGTGCACCAAGGAGGTGTTTAAATCATCCGAAAATGATAATAGTTTTACCTCATTTATTTCAGTTATTATATATTTTTGTTATATATTTTTTGTATTTTCTTTTTTCAGTTTCATCATCACATATGGGAAGGTTAAAACATAAAACAGTAGATGTCGTATTGTCAGCTGACTGACTGCCAATTTCATCTTTATTAAAATATTTGACATCGGTTCTTCATACACCTTCCATATGTCCGGGACACTGCGGTCCCGTAATGGATAGCATAACTTAAAATATTAGGTTATCTAGTTAGACGGCGAAACACTAAAAAAACACTTTACTAAGCTTGCTTAGATTTTATTTATAATAATATTGTTAGGTACAAAATGTTTTTTTTAAATATACATTTTCACAGTGTCTCATTTGAATTCGTTGTAGTCATGTGGTCTTCAGGTAAATTAACTCAGTAACAGTCTGGATGTCAAACTCGACATGAGGCGTTTGAAGGCCAGTCGCAAACCTGTAAAAAAATAACATTACTTAATTGTTACAAAAAATATCTTAAAATGTTTGCTTAAAACGTCACATTTTTGTCCCGGTAAGTTATGTCTTGAAAGCAGCGTATTCTCATCGTAGGCATCATCCTGTTTCGCGGATACGTTTAAAACATTCAAAATCCGCATAACAATTACGTCGAGATCAGAAATAACAATTTGCGAGACACACTTCACACTATAATTGTTCCGTTCGGGTATCGAACCCACGACATATTGCCCGGCAGCCGGTTGAAACCAGTGCAGGCGCATTAACTGAAGAAGTTATCGGGATATTTGTTTCAATTGACTGCACGATTGGTGCGGTGGCTGGGCAACCGGCTGCGGTGCAACGTGTCGCGGGTTCGATTCCCGCACGGAACAACACTTTGTGTGATCCACAAATTGTTGTTTCGGGTCTGGGTGTCATGTGTATGTGAACTTGTATGTTTGTAAACGCACCCACGACACAGGAGAAAAATCCTAGTGTGGGGCAACGTATTTATAAAAAAAAAAATGAATTATTAACTTACAATTCTAAAATGGTCTCTAGTACTTCAGATGACTTTACTTTGTCCTTCGCATATTTTCAAAATACGTAATCAATTCTAGCTAACTACACCGGGCTATCGGTGGTGTTGAAATAGTAAAAATTAAATCAATATTGTTAGTTTTCTGAACATAACCAAAAGTTTCCGATTGTTGTCACATGTGGCGCTAGTGCATTCTGTCTGTTCTCTGTAATTTTTACCGGCTAATAAACGTATTGTTAAACTTTCATCTCGTTTATTATTATTCCACAGGTGGCAATGTGTTACACTGTAAAAAGTGACCATGAATATGCAACTTTGACTTACCTGTCTGAATTCGTTGAAATGTAAATTGGCAGGACAGCGTCTCAACACTCGACTTCCCCAGACACACTGGTAGAAGGCGGAACAATCAGTTGGGTGAGGCAGCAACCAGTGCATGCTTAGGTTTATAGGGCATCCATTGGGTAGACTAGGTGGTCGAGTTGTTAATACGGTGGAGGTGGTCCTGGTGGTGCTGGTGAAACGCGGAGTCGTAGTCGTAGTCGGAGTCGTGGTCGTAGTAGTCGAAGCAGTAGATGAGGTAGTTGTCGAGCTCGTCGTTGTTGACTGGTCAGGAATATTACGGTCCTCACAATCTACGTTTCGTGGCCAGTCACAACGCCATTCTTCCAGGTTGAACCAAAGGTCCGGCGGGCAACTCATTGCAACGGGCTTACCAAATGTACATTTATAAAACTTATCACAATCCTCGTGTCTCAGCAACAATTCAATTTCCCAATTAGTTTCCTGTTCTTTCGGGCATTCTTGTGATTGGGCCCGCCCCACGGCCGCGCACACGATGACCAATAATGCAATTATTCCTAAAAATAAAAATAATTTAAATCTAAATACGAAAAAATAATAATTAATTTCAAAAATGCAATATGGTATTTTATGTATATAGTATCGAACACAGGTCACAGAATTTAAAAAAATTACAGTCACGAACCTTTCATTGTGAGTTTTAAATCCGACTGAATGCTCCAGCACCACGTCCAATTAGTTTTATACCTTCACTAAGATAGGAAACCATGTCCTTTTAATCAAATTAATTTAATTAAAGATGAGTAGATGATCAATTACTGCATTGCTTATCAACATTTACCGGTAGCAGACTATCGAAGCTGTGATATAAATTTATCACTTTCGATTTGATAAAGTACAATACAATACTTCATTTATTCAAATAAAAACTTAAATAAAATTAAAACGAACTATTTCTAAATTAGACAACTATTTCTAAATAAACTATTACTTAAAAAAAATTAAAACTATATATTACTAAATTAAATACCTATATACAACTTAAGATTAAATGGTATGTAAGAATCGTGGTAATTGGCGTTCCTTAGTCTCTGCCTACCCCCATGGGAGACAGGCGTGAAGTTATGTATGTATGTAACTTAAGATTAAAATTAATTATAAGAAAAAACAAAAACAACTATTTACATAAAGCGTCGAAAAATTCGTCCGCATCGACGTCAGTGGGGAAAGTACCCAGAAGGCTGGCAGCATTGCCACGTTGTATGGCAATGCTTAACCTCTGACCGAGAAAAAGACCAGCCCTCTGGTCACGAGATGTGTCAACCAGGCGTTTTGAAATATTTTTGAATAATTTAAGTGCACTCGGACCCCACGGACCTAGCGTCTCAACCCCAAACGGCTCAAAGATATAACTACCAGCAAGGTTGTTATACTTGCGCCGCTTGAGGCTTTCTGCAGAGGCAGCAGCCGAACCAGCACAACCCGCCGTTACTGGAAGATGAGAAGGTGCAACCACATCAAAGACCTTCCCAGCTTCCAGGGCATAATGGACATACCGTCGGGTCTCTTACCATCGTCACGTGCCAAACCCTTTGGTTCCAGAACAGCTGGCACACCGGCGATGATAAGAGCTCGACGGATAATGTCATTAATGCTGGCGTGTCGAGCTATCCGGCCCGCGCTTCTGCTACACGATAGGCCGTGGTGGCCGAGGTGGTCGACCATCTCACCGCATTGACAGCGATGCGGAGAAACAAATATAATACTTCATACAACAAATTAGTAATTAGGTACATACATGATAAGCATTCAGTTTGGGATTGTTAGGTCATTCAGGTAGATATGTGAATAAAAGACATTCAGTAACTGGTGCAAAGTATAAAGTTATGAATCTTGTTTCAATGTCACGAATTAATGTTTGTTATTAAAATTATTAAGTTAATAAAATCCTATTCGTGTAAAACTGCGCGCGCCTCAAAGAGCCATCACACCATACGGATGGGGCCCAACTGGGCCGATGCCGATTCGGAGTCGTGGAGAACCTAACGGGTTACCGGGGCTCCGGCTCGACGTGCAGGCTCGACGTGCAGGAGAAGGAACGGGGTGGTTTGAAGTCAGTAAGAGTTTGACCTCACCCAGGCGGGAGCAATCATTCGATGATATTATGCGCTTAAAAAAAAAAGATTCGTGTGAAACTGAATTACTTAGAAAACTGAACTTTTCGTAATTACCATAAAGATGATTCAGTACCTGCTTATTTTAAAAGTACGTATTTAGTCACATTCGTTTTAGAGAAGAAATCTAGACAATTTGTATTCCGATACATAAGTATTTTATTTTCACCGAACGACGTCGTTTAGGATAGAAACGAGATAGAAATGAAAATAGAGCTGCTATACACAATCAGAAGCAAAACTAACTGCTTTAAGAAATTGAAAGACTTATTTACGTACCTACTTCAAAATATAATGTCCTTATATTAACCCACTAGCCCGCTGTTGCCTGCGACTTCGTCGGCGTAGAATAATGATTTCTGGCAATATTTAGGCTTTTAAATTAGCCTTTTCCAAGGGACATTCCACGGTAACAAATGTTGTCAGAATAGATTCAGTACCTAGGTTATATTTATTGTGAAATGAATTTATTTTCGTTATCATCATCATCGACAGCCGAAAGACGTCCACTGCTAGACAAAGGCCTCCTCCTTAGTCCGCCACGTCGATCGACAACTCGCCACCTGCAACCACTGGCTCCCCACAACTCAGGCGATGTCGTCGGTCTACCTAGCGGAAGGCTTGCCCACGCTTCGTCTTCCGGTCCGTGGTTTCCACTCAAGGACTTTCCTGGCCCATCTGCCGTCAGTCCATCGAGCGACGTGGCCTACCTATTGCCACTTTAGTCTGTAGATTTTGCGAGCTATGTCAGTAACTCTAATTCTTTGGCGAATTTCCATACTTCGGATTTTGTCGCGCAAAGAAACCCCGAACATAGCTCTCTGCATCGCGCGCTAAGCGACTTTGAGCTTCTCTAAATGGCCAGATGTCAAATACCACATTTCGGTATTATACATCATTAATGGCAATACACACTGGTTAAACATCCTGGTCTTCAGGCACTGCGGGATTTTTGATAAGAAGATTTCGCATAACTTCTCAAACGCTGCCCATACGAGTGATCTGAGAGATTCTTCGAGCGACGTCTTTGTTCAAGTTGAACTTACCTACCTGGATATAATCTGCTCTATGTATGTATAATGGTCTACAACTTTGAGGATGTCGTTCCCAACGAACGGTACAGGTGCAACATAGATGTTTGACATGATTTTGGTCTTGTCTATGTTCATTTCCAAAATCTCCTTTACAGTGATTTAAAAGATATAGAGTGCCGAAATGTAAACGCATATATCCGTTGCCTGGGATTTTAGGTATAAAAACCATCATACTTCGTTTTCTAGGTTTCAAACTACCGTTATACCGAATTTCACTCAAATGGGTTCAATGGTTTAAAAGGTACCGGTACCAGTCTCGGCATTTTAACGTATAGTTCCTGATCTCGTAGGATTTCCGGGTTGAAAACTCTTTGACGTCCTTTCCTTGGTCTCAAACCATCGTTATACTAAATTCCAATCAAATAGCTTAAAAGATAGAGAGTTGCGTGATGTTAACGCGTAGTCCCCATTCCCATGATATTTTTGAGATAAAACTATAACATATACTTCCTCCGGTTTAAAACTATCGTTGTACTCAATTTCAGTCAAATAGGTTCATTGGTTTAAGATATAGAGAGTCCCGGGATTTAACACATAGTCCCCGTTCTTCTGAGATTTCCAGAAATTTAATAATCATAATTTAATCCTTTATTAATTTTATACAAAATAATACAATAAACAAACCCGTCAAACTGTCATAGCAGTTTGGTGGTTTTTGTTAATTGTATTATTTATGTGTATTGTTTTAGTGTGTTTATTGTCTTAGTGTGGGAATAGCTCACGATAGTTATACCTAATCAAACAAAACTTCGGATCAAACTTGGCCTTAACAAAAACGAAGTTAACTTATACTAACAAACAGAAACATAATTATGTGAAATAATTTATATAAAAAGTAAATCATTTAAGTAACTAAAACTAACCAAATTAACATTAACTAAATTTTTTGGCAAATTCGGTAGGTAACATAGTGTTTAGTTTATATTTTAGGGATTGATTACTAATTATATTGTATAAGTGCCTTAACAAATCAATATCGTTGTACAACGTCGGAACCATGTACCCATTGGTTCTTTACCCATAATAATTTTTCATCGTTGGCCGGACTAACTTATTTTCTCTAACACGCCTTGTGTTATATTTGTTTGCAACTTTTTCTTTATTTTGTTCACTATAAAACTGCTCAGGAATCAACAAGTATCTGGCCCGGTCACAGGAGGTATTTTGCATGGTATGTATAGTCTCTCATAGTTTTCTTTACGTCTAACTTTAGGTGATATGTTTGTGCTCAGACGAATTTACTATGGATCGGACAGAGAGAGCCGCGTCGACAGTAGACTTTCCTACAGTAAAACCAAATTGTATATTGTGGAATTTTGGTCCACCTGGCATTAAACGAGGAACGATGAGTCGCTCAAGCAGTTTCCCTAAAGATGGTAAAAGCGTGATAGGCCGGTATGACTCAGGGTCATGGGGGGTTTGTTTCCATTCTTGGGGATTATGAGAATGAATCGACGGTGCCATACATAAGGAAAGACACCTTCCGCGATACAACGGTTGAATACAGTTAGAATCCCATCAGCCGCGGATTTACACGCTTCTATTATCATTTTATTTGAGACTTTGTCTTCACCAGATTATTTATTCAAAGGCAAAGTTTTAACAATAGTTACGAGCTTGTTGATGAACGGAAGATCAGACACTGATACACATGCCGTGTTATCAGCTGACTGACGGCCTATTACATCTAAATATATTAAAATATTTGACATCGGCTCCTCATACACCTTCCAAATGTCCGGGACCCTGCGGTCCCGTAATGGATAGAATAACTAAAAATATTAGGTTATCTTGTTAGACGGCGATGACAAAAAACCCTTGCTTCTAATGTCTATAACACTAAAAAAAACACTTTACTATAAGCTTGCTTAGATTTTATTTATAAAAATATTGTTAAGTACAAAATATAATAAAAAAAAATAATTATTATCACACCGTCTCATTTGAATTCGTTGTAGTCATGTGGTCTTCGAGTAAATTAACTCAGTAACAGTCTGGATGTCAAACTTGACATGAGGCGTTTGAAGGCCAGTCGCAAATCTGTAAAAAAAGATAACATTACTTACCTATTCATTACAAAAAATAGTCCTGATAAGTTATGTCTTGAAAGCAGCGTATTCTCATCGTAGGCATCATCCTGTTTCGCGGATACGTTTAAAACATTCTAAATCCGCATACAGATTATGGGTATATCGAACCCACGACAATTTGCCCGGCAGCCAGTTGTAACAAGTGCAGGCGCATCAACTGAAGAAGTTATCGAGATATTTGTTTCAATAATTAACTTACAATTCTAAAATGGTCTCTAGTACTTCAGATTACTTTACTTTGTCCTTCGAATATTTTCAAAATACGTAATCAAACGGAATTCTAGCTAACTGCACCGAGATGGCTATCGCTGGCAATTTGTATGTACATAATCCTGCAATTATTGTTTCTGCGTTTGTTACACTGTAAAAAGTGACCATGAATACGCAACTTTGACTTACCTGAATCTTTGCGTTGAAATGTAAATTGGCAGGACAGTGTCTCAACACTAGTCTTCCCCAGACACAATGGTAGAAGGCGGAACAATCAGTTGGGTGAGGCAGCAACCAGTGGATGCTTGGGTCTATAGGGCATCCATTGGGTAGACTAGGTGGTCGAGGTACGAAGGTGGTGCAGGTTGGAGGCGTAGGCGTAGTACTCGAAGCAGTAATTGAGGTAGTTGTCGAACTCGTCGTTGTTGACTGGGCAGGAATATTACGGTCCTCACAATCTACGTTTCGTGGCCAGTCACAACGCCATTCTTCCAGGTTGAACCAAAGGTCCGGCGGGCAACTCATTGCAACGGGCTTACCAAATGTACATTTATAAAACTTATCACAATCCTCGTGTCTCAGCAACAATTCAATTTCCCAATTAGTTTCCTGTTCTTTCGGGCATTCTTGTGATTGGGCCCGCCCCACGGCCGCGCACACGATGACCAATAATGCAATTATTCCTAAAAATAAAAATATCTTCATTGTAAATATGAAATAATCATAAAAATAATCAATTTCAAAAATGCAATTGATTATTATTATCTTTTGTTTATAGTATCGAACACAGGTCACAGAATTTAAAGATTTTACAATAACAAACCTTTCGTTATAAGTTTCAGATCCAATTAAATGCACGTCCAATTAGTTTGATACATTTACTAAAATAGAAAAAACCACCAATGTTCTTTTAATCTATAAGATGAGTAGATGAGGAATGAGTGCATTGCTTATCAACATTTACCGGTAGCAGACTATCAAAGCTGTGATAAAAAATTATCACTTTCGATTTGTTTATGTACAAGGTATTGTACGTAATTACTAGTTTGTTGTATGAAGTATTTAGATACATGATAAGCAGTAAGTTTGGGATTGTTAGGCCATTCAGGCAGACACTGGTATGAGAATAAAAGACATTCAGTTACTTATTGGTGCAAACTATAAAGTTATGAACCTTCTTTTAATACTACAAATTAATGTTTGTTAATTAAAATTTGATGAAATCCTATTGGTGTAAAACTGAATTACTTGAAAACTTTTCGTAGTTACCGTAAAGATGATTCAGTACCCGCTTATATTAAAAGTAGGTATTTAGTCACATTCGTTTCGAGAAGAAATCTAAATAGTTTTGTATTCCGATACATAAGTTCCTTTAAAGAAAAGTAAATGAAAAATCTTCCAAGATATGTATTAGCAAAATATGCATCACAATAATAAATGGAAGAAGTTAACGTATGTCACGAACAGCAAGTTTGGGGCAGTCCGTCCGAAGTGACACATTCATTTATACTTATTTTATTTTCACTGAACGACGACGTTTTGGAAAGAAACGAGATAGAAATGAAAATAGAGCTGCTACCTCTATACACCAGAAACAAAACTAACTGCTTTAGGAAATTCAAAGGCTTAGGCTTATTTACGTACTTACTTCTAAATGTAATGTTCTTATACACAATACCTAACCGAGCGAAAAAGTTGTTTGCGATTCCGATGCTTATAACTTTTTTAATTAACAGACATTATTCTGAACCTAACTATTTTTTTAACACAGACGGTTAGGTATCAACAGTTAAATAATGAGTGATATAATGATTTAATTAAGGATTCTTAACATTACCTCAAAAATACATCGGAAATCACAAATAATTAGAGTAGGGTTTAACGTCAACATGTCTCGAACTTCGTTCGTTCGAACGAAGTTTCGCAAAAATAGAATTGTAGTAGGAAACCTACGGTGTTTCGGACGAAACTTCGTTTTTCGTCGAATCATAGTAGACCTACTGATCCGTTGAGAACACTGAACACACATCTGACGCATGCGCAATGGCTTTAAACCGTCCGTTAAGTAAAATTGTTATCCTCATCTGACTACCGGTGTTAAGCGCTAGATCTCTTTCATTCTACTTTTAACATTCACTATCTTTAACAACCAGCAACCCTTATTTGCGGTCAAATTTAATTAAGCAACTATATATATCATAATGAACAGAAAAATAGTTTTAATTTGATATATGTATGAATGTACGTTATGGGACTATAATTATATAGTTCCGGAGAGGTACAGCCAGATGCGCAACGGCAACCATGATTTTTCAGTCTTTTTTATATATTTGATGCGCCGAAGTTTGACCATTATCTCGCCTGGTGGTAAGCGATGATGCGGTCTGCGATGGATAAGCAGCCTATTCAATAGAGCCTTTTAGAAAACCAGAATTCCACTACTTAGCAGTACGTTCCCCGGGTTGAAGGGATTTCTTCAAACTTGAATTAGCAGGGGGCCGATGCTATGAAGCCACGACGAATGGTGCCCTTCTACGTCTTGACTTGGCAGAAGTCGACGGGGTCATGAGAGTGGCTGACTCTCGTTATCCCATCGACGCCGGGATAGGTCATGGTTGTCCTTGATCAGGACAAAGGATTCTAGCTTCACGTCGCCTCTGGAATGGAACCACTTGGACTTGGCCTGCAACTGAGAAATATTCTATATGAAATCGAATCCAAAAATGCTGCCTAATTAACTGGATCGTCTTCCGTCGATCCATCCGCGTGATGTTGGATTCAGTCACCTGAGGGGAAGGTACCAATAATATATAAGCGGTCGTCCGATTAGGAAGTGCGAAGAAGTAAGTGCTGAATAATCGTTAGAGTCCGAAGAAAGAGGAGTATTTATTTATTTATCTTTTTATGTACACTATACAGTAGACAATATTACATAGGACAATACATTACAAGCATGAGGTACAAAGTTACTGCATATAACTAATTGCCGCGTAAGAGGGCTTGAATTTAACACCGCCTCTATATGAGTTAGACATTTCTTAAAAGGTTTTTTGAGTAAGATGCAGCAGTCTTTTTAAATGTTGTATATACGATTTTACAGCAGTTCCAGTGAGTTAAAATATGGACTGTAGTGCAGACGTGAAAACGAATTCAATGCCCATCTACGCTACAGAACTTTCAGATGCAACATCAGACGACTGCCGTGTAAGTCTTGGTGGTGAGGTAGCCGACGAGCTCCGAATGAACTTTCAATATGTGCAAACAAAGATGCACATATAAGATTTTGTCAGTTTGCAGCCACGGCCTTTACGATTGGCCCCCAATACAGGTCCCGCGTAATCAACGTAACTGTACAAAAATGAAAACTCAAACTGAGTTCTAGAATGGGGTAAGTAACCCTTTATGGGCTGTATGCTTTGAGCCTTGTGTCTGAAACAGTTGAAATCTTCATTTACTATAAGTCTAGACAATATTCTGCCACCCAACGGCCAATAAGACTGTCGAATGTGCGACAGTAACAATTGTGAATCAGCATATGCATGGTTTAAATGTTGCATGTGGAATAAAAGCTTAGTTAGAATACGTTTGCTACATAATACTATGGGTACTATGGTATTAAAATCATAGGGAGATAGGGAGAATTATCAAGCCTACCGCCAACGCGGATGAGGTCATTATTGTCCATGAAGGGAGACAAGGGCAATAACCTACTTTTGCGTGGCAATTTCTGACCAGATATTAGAAGCATATACAAGAGTAGTATAAATAAATATATATCGGGCCTGCGGACGGCGAGCATGGGTGGCTCCCCGTCCGACCAGAAACAGACCCGAGCGTGCGGCGCGTCGCGTTCCGCGCGCGCCTCAAAGAGCCATCAGACCACCACAGATGGGGCCCAATAGGGCCGATGCCGATTCGGAGTCGCGGAGAACCTAACGGGTAACCGGGGCTCCGGCTCGACGTGCAGGAGAAGGAACGGGGTGGTTTTTAGTCAGTAAGAGCCTGACACTCCCTTCCGCCTCACCCAGGCGGGAGCAGTCATTCGATGATTTTCCCCCCTTAAAAAAAAAAGTATAAATATATATAGTATAGAGGAAGGTGTATAATTAAATGTAATGAAATTAAGTAAATTTTCAAGTTCTGAAACAGAAAGATAGCCACACTTTTTATTTTATTTTTTAGATTATAAGTTTGTTTATATTTTTGTTAGACTAGAATATCTTTTTAATAATGTACTATGTCTATATGTATGATCAATGTATAAATGGTTACATCTGAATGATTATGAATATTAGAATAATTCACACTACTATAATTTTAAACGAGTTGCTTCACTACATCTTTCCCTATGTTGGGTATTTTGGGCCACTCGGTTTTATTATGCTTTATAAAGGAGGGCCCAGACCACCAAACAGGTGTGTCATTAATGACGTCTGCCCTAAGACCACGGGTAACAAGATCCACCGGGTTGTCTTTCGACGGTACGTAGCTCCAGGTATGATCAAACATGCTTTCTTGAATTTCATTGATTCGATTTGTAACAAAAGGTTTCAATTGACTAGAGTTAGTAGAAAGCCAAGCTACAACTATGGTTGACTCACACCAGAATCTACATTCGTGAAGGGTATGGTAAACGCAAAGTTCAAGTCGCGGTATCGTTGTAGGTTTGATAGACACTACACGGTTTCTAGAGACTAGAAACTGGACGCCTATAGATCCATCACTACTGTAAGACTGAATGTACACACAAGCGCCACACGCCTTCTCAGACACATCGGTGATGACATGTACTTCGGGCATAATAGAATCTTTACGCAAAACCCAACGAGGATTTTTTAATTTATTTAATAATTTTTTGCTACTCACAAATGTAAACCAAATGTTTTGAATGTCGAGCGATACTACGTCGTTCTAGTCATATTTTTTAACCATAAACGTTGCATGAATAGCCTTGCTTCGATGACGCTAAACCAACTACGCATAATGGTTCAAAGATTTAACTGATAACAGAGAGGACATGACGCTTGGTAACTTTTGTTGTGGAAGTCATATTTATTGAATAAGTTTGTTAGCGTATCTGATTCACACACCCAGTTAAGCCCTAAGGTTTTTAATGGAATTTGTACAGTAAACGTACCTTTCCCAGAAAAATCCGGTGTTCAGCAATAAGCGTGCAGTGTACTTCTTATCCGTCACGCCAGGCACGTTCACCAGGGCTGTGGACAGTAAAACATGCGAAGAAGTAGAAGAAGGCAAAGCCGCAGGCAGTGGATTTGTCTAGGATTTAGTCTCATGTGAGTATAAGTGCAAAAGCGTATTATGCTTCGATTTGAAACATTTGCAATCTGAAAATTTACATTTATTAGCAGAATGTCCGAAGTGTATAGAATTAAAGCAAACATTGTATTCGTGGGCCTTTTGTTTACGAGCCTCAATATGTAGATAAGATTCTAAATGAGTCACACCTGTATAAAGTATGTGCTTGGGAGCAAAGTGCATTTATTGTTTTTATGATTATAGTTTGATTTTTAATTTTATATTTCAATGTTAGTTTTTGAACTAATTTTGTTTATGTGACTATTGTTTAAGGCTACAATAATATTCTTTTTTGAAGAACAATTATTTAATTCAACTGATTCCAACCAGTCCGCTCGCTTGCCTAAAAATGAACAAAATTGTTAAACAACGATGATCCTCATCATTGTTTAAAGCAGAATTCCTATTTTCTTCCCAGTCACGACGAGTAATATCATCTAATTATTTATCTATAAAATAAATAATCATTAAATTTCAATGATGTGTGGGCTTTTTTAATGTTGTTAGTTCCCGAATATTTTTATTGATTAAACCTAACTAAGTTTCTAATAGCAACACTTGATTCCGTAAATATTGGTTAAATAGTGATTACCACTATTATAGTAAAATCGTAGAAAAGTCAAAAATGTACATTGAATATTTTTTTTAAAGAATACTTGGTGCGTGATCTACAATCGATACCGAAGCCAAATATATGGTTTTGTCTGTTTGTCTATATGTATGTCCGGGATGATCTCAAAAAGTACTACATGGGTTTACTTCAAATTTTGCATGAAAATTACTAACAAGTCGGGTCATTATATAGGCTACATATTATCACACTATCATCTACGGGGGAGAAGCCTGATACTAGGTACTTAATCAATTCTGACGACATTGGTTACCGTAGAATAACCCTTGATAAAGACTAATTGAAAAGCATAAATTCTGCCAGAAATCATTATTCTACGCGGACGAAGTCGCGGGCAACAGCTAGTCATCAAATAAACGGCCAACGTTCGGCCTCAAAATCAATTTTCTTGATTATCAAGGGCGCTTTGCCCTGGAGTAAAGCTCGCAGGTAGTGGAACTTATTTATGACTTTAATGCTAGTATTGTCGTGAACCAATGAACTAAAAGTATCTCGAAACTGAAGCCATCAAAATGTGACAATTCTATTTTTGGCAAACAAACAAAATTATTCCGTGAGAAAATATGTGCACCTGAGTCAGCGTCTTTGAAGCCCGCCTCCGACCCAACACCGTTGTTCGAAGCGCCGAGCAGGCTGCGCGTGAGTGCCACCAGACTGAAGAACTGGCGGTCAAAGACCTCACGCTCCGTAAACGTGGACTCGGCATCGTCGGCAAGCACTTCAATTTGAGTCTGTAAATCGTCAAATTCAGCATGTAAGCTTTGGAATTTAATAAAGCGGTCTTCCAAATGTAGACGCTGCAACTGTGAAATAGCAGCACTACTTTTAATTAATGTTAAATATTTATTGTAAACTTTAATATTTTTGCTTCTTAAAGTCTTTAAACATGATAAAATATTATAGAATTGAATATAAACTGACTAAACAGATACTAAAATGAGGTAAAAAGTGTATGAAAAAACAGCTACTCGTTTTGTAACTAAGGAATATTTTAATGCGTGAGCTATTGATACGTAATCAAAATAAGCTCTGTTTGAAATGATATAAGGACTACTTGGTAAAGAAAGTTATGGGAAGCTGGGGATCAATTTTTTGGTAAGATGAAGATTTAGAAAAATATCTAATTGGATCGACTCACTCAAATACAGTTACATACTCCCAAGAATGACATCGGCTTCCACAGTGACCACGTCTGCTTCGGGAACAACTTCACTGCTGTCGGCAGCGTGGTGCGGGGCTCCAAAATTCGGACGACGTGCTCCATCGTAGACCGCATCATCGCTTACCACCAGGCGAGATAGTGGTCAAACGTCGCCCCATCAAATATAAAAAAAAAGATGACGTTGACCCTTAGATTATAAATATGTCTAGATAGAGCGTCATTATACAATAGCAACAAAATTGACATTGCAAAATTTCTTGCATGTGTGCATGCGGCTTGTGGTTTACACGGTACAAAAATGATATCAACTACGACAAAAATTCTCCCATCAAATTTATATCTCCCATAAATATTTGGGTAAAATTAAAAACATCTCTTTGAATTTTTATTTCTATAAAACCAATTTATAAAATATTATTGTAACCTTAAACGAAACTTCTTATCAGTCTAATAAAACTATTATTTTATTTTTAATTCACAAGCAAATGACTTTTTACATCTTTTCCCTCTTCATGTATTCCCCTCTCACGAGTTTGATATTGAGATTGAAAAATAAATTGGCTTCACTGATTAAAATATGGCGGCAATTAGTTAGGCCAAAAACAGCCTCTTGGCACGCCTCTCGGAGTGTTCTGACGCGTCTAGCTGATATTTAGCCGAGCCTTCCCAAAGATGTGAACAGTACTCCATACAGGACCGAACGTGTGCGTGATAAAGGCTTAGCAATTGTTTCGGCGTTAAGAACCGTCTCACCCTCCATAGGATACCCAACTTCCTACCGGCCAGTTGCACTTTCGACTCTATATAAGAGCGAAAGTTGAATGTAGGCGTCAGAGTCATGCCAAAAAACTCAAGATGATCAGTTATCGGAACGGATACATTCCAGAAAGTAGAAGTCAGCGGAAATTGACTACGTTTGACTTTCTTTGTAGATGTTGCCGTGAAGTAGACGACATTTTATTGAAAAAAACAAGTCAATAAAATTTCTTACAAAATATGAATTATTAATAATTTAATGAAAAATGCCAAGCGCCTACATTTTGATAAGCAACCTAGAAGATATCAATTCTTGTAATCATAAATGTGTGTATAAATTTTGTTTTGAACAAAAACTCGAGAGATTTTCGAGCTCGTAATAAGGTGTTAGAGGTTGTTACTATGGAATCCCCGTTTTTAGTGTCTATATTATTCAGGATATAACTTACTAAAACACTTTAATTAAAGCTTGCTTATATTTTATTCATAAAGAATACTGTCGAGTATAAAATACGTAAAAAAAATTAAATATAAATAATTTTCACATTGTCTTATTTGAATTGATTTTAGTTATTGCGGTCCTCAGGTAAATTATCTCAGTAACTGTCTGGATGACAAGTGTTTGTTGAACGAGGCTGGGCATCCGGCGGCCCAAGGCCAGTCACAAACCTGTGGAACAAATAATGTTACATTATTAATTTAAAAAAAAAAAACAATTTCAGTTCCTTTTGGCCTTCGTAAATTATGTGACATAAATACAGTTAATGCGGGTATATTAGGGGAAAAAACGTGGGTTAACCACGACATAATTATTTCCCAGTGACCACTAACCAGTTGCATATAGGGCATGTATGCAATAAAAAAAATATCGGAACAATGATTAACTTATAATTCTTAGTAGTTTGACAGTTCCTTTCCTCCTCCCCAGGCGAGGAGGCTGCATGAGCATTTCCTACATTGGGGTCAAAAACACATCTGCAGCACTCTAGTGCTTTAGATGTTCTTACTTTGTCACTCGACTATTTTGAAAATAAGTAATTAAATTGATTCTGTTCTCTCTATTGCGAGATGGTTATCCATGGGAATTTATATTTATATAATTCTGCAATCAATCTTATTATAAGAAATGCAGTAATCGATATTTTATGGGTTTTTAAAAGATTATCAAAAATCTGTATTTATAACAGTAAACTAAGATCTTGTCGATAAAATAGATTGTAGATAGTATAATATAATTTTTGTTACAACAAAAAAATATTACATCTTTTAACGTTAACATCCGTAAGAAAATTTTAAGGCGGTGATACGTTGTTTTTTTTTAAATTACTTTTTTGAGCCACGACACAGTGCCTGTGTAGGTAAAAATAATGTTTAGAAAAAAATAAATATTCTGTGAAAATAGATCGGACATGCATCGTGCATGACATGCACATCAGAGCTACGTATTCATATTATCGTGTTCAGAGATGGGCAAAAAACCAAGTTTAAGTTCATAAATAATTATGCAGAAAACCTTTGACATAAATTAGAAGGTTATTGTGCTTATAAACATACAAGTCACACATCACATTCAGATCAGAAACAAATATTTTTGCCAATCGCACACAGGAATCGAACCCGCGATACGATGCGCAGTAACAAGTTGCTGTTGTTGGTGGAATATCAACCAATGACCTGCTGTTTGTGAGGCGAGAGGAAGTGTCAGGGATCCTGCTTTGTTCCGGGGCCCAGGTGTATGACGATATCACCTTTAGCCCAGGTAAGCAAGTCAATATTTTGGTGTCTTCAATTCCTCATTCCATCTTTTTTTAAAGGGATAAGCCCGCCACAACCTCCCAAAACCGCTGCAACTCCTGTAAGCCAGGATCTACAGTAGATACAACCATGAAAACACCAGAACATTGAAGCCCAGCGCGTCCCAGTTACATGAGTAACTGTCTTGGTTCCCGCAACGAAGTGAATCAGAATATATTATAAGAGGAGAAGAAGAAAAAACTATAGTTTCCACTTCCCTCGGTGAATTAGGTACTGCAGGAGACAGAATAAATTAAGCCTAAAGGCACAAAGAAGAGACTACAACTGGGTGAAGCCTAGTCGCCAAGCACCCCGGAAATTTGACTAAAAAAACTAAGTGGGTCCTATGTGTGAGCTGTTATACTTGCTTCCAATAATAGGTATGGCAAAAGCGCCTAAACGCACGGAAATTTGTTCTAGATTCCACAAAGTCCGTATAATAAGCTACACCTGACGAAACAATTAAATTATTCAACATAGTGTTACATTCATATTGCCAGAGATAACACCCCCAGAGTATGTGATGGGCCGACTGGATCCTCATTCCATCTAGGAATTATTTCTTAACTTTTCTCTTACCTGAATCGTTCTGTTGAAATGTAAATTGGCGGGGCAGTGTCTCAACACCAAATCTCCCCAAACGCAGTAGTAGAAGGCGTTACAATCCGTTGGGTGAGGCAGCAGCCAGTGGATTAGAGGGTTCACAGGGCATCCATTGGGTAAGAAATCAACAGGTGTTGGCATGGTGGTGGTCGTCGTTGTAGTAGACGGGGTGGTTGGAGGTGGTGTCGTAGTCGTTGTAGTAGTTGTAGTAGACGTGGTGGTTGGAGGTGGTGTTGTAGTAGTTGTAGTAGACGTGGTGGTTGGAGGTGGTGTTGTAGTCGTTGTAGTAGACGTGGTGGTTGGAGGTGGTGTTGTAGTCGTTGTAGTAGACGTGGTGGTTGGAGGTGGTGTCGTAGTCGTTGTAGTAGTTGTAGTAGACGTGGTGGTTGATGGTGTTGTCGTAGTAGTTGTTGTCGAACTCGTTGTTGGGTCCCCAGGAATATTACGGTCCTCACAATCTACGTTTTGTGGCCAGTCACAACGCCATGTATCCAGGTTGAACCAAAGACCAGGCGGGCAACTCATTTCAACAGGCTTACCAAAGGTACATTTATAAAATTTTTCACAATCGTCGTGTCTCAGCAGCCATTCAATATCCCAGTTTGATTCCTGTTCTTTCGGGCATTCTTCCAATTGGGCCCGCCCCACGGCCGCGTACACGATGACCAATAATATAATTATTCCTAAAAATATAAACAACTTTAATCTATATACAAATTATTAATTACTAAAATACATTTATCAATTTCAAAAATGTCATATATTATTTTTTGTTTAGTATCGAACCGATCACTGAAGTAAACTATTTTACAGATACGAACCTTTCATTGTGAGTTTCAGATCCAATTGAATACTCCAGTACCGCTTCTAATAAGTTTTATACCTTAACTAAAGTGGAAAACCATGTTCTTCTAATCTATTAGATGACTAGATGATCAATTAATGTATTGCTTATCAACATTTAGTGGTTGCAGACTATCAAAACTGTAATATAGATATATACATTCATCACTTTTGATTTGATAAAGATGGCTACTTCTTAATACATTCTACTTCATAAAACAAATTAGTAAAAATTACATGATTAACAGTGTTTGAAATTATTTGCTGTTATGTTAATAGAAGACATACAAACTACAAATTTCTGAAATTTCACAAAAGTTTACTTATTAAAATATATATTATATTTAATATTATATTTCGTTTAAAATTGAATTACATAAAATCTGACTTTTCATAGAGGTAGTTACCATAAAAAAATGTCTTGACACCTGTTCATTGTTTCCTATGACAGTAAAAATGAGATAACTAGACCGTTCTAGGAGAAACTCGTGAGAGGGGAATATTGAAAAATAAATTGGCTTCACTGATCAAATATGGCGGCAATTAGTTAGGCCAAAAACAGCCTCTTGGCACGCCTCTCGGAGTGTTCTGACGCGTCCAGCTGATATTTAGCCGAGCCTTCCCAAAGATGTGAACAGTACTCCATACAGGACCGAACGTGTGCGTGATACAGGCTTAGCAATTGTTTCGGCGTTAAGAACTGTCTCACCCTCCATATGATACCCAACTTCCTACCGGCCAGTTGCACTTTCGACTCTATATAAGAGCGAAAGTTGAATGTAGGCGTCAGAGTCATGCCAAAAAACTCAAGATGACCAGTTATCGGAACGGATACATTCCGGAAAGTAGGAGTCAGCGGAAATTGACTACGTTAGACTCCGTCTTTGTAGATGTTGCCGTGAAGTAAACAACATTTTATTGAAAAAAACATGTCAATAAAATTTCTTACAAAATATGAATTATTAATAATTTAATGAAAAATGCCAGCGTTAATCATAAATGTGTGTATAAATTTTGTTTTGAACAAAAACTCGAGAGATTTTCGAGCTCGTAATAAGGTGTTAGAGGTTTTTACTCCCGTTCCTAGTGTCGAATCCCCGTTTCTAGTGTCTATATTTTTTAGGACATAACTTACTAAAACACTTTAATTAAAGCTTGCTTAAATTTTATTCATATAGAATATTGTCGGGTATAAAATATGTAAAAAAAAATTAAATATAAATAATTTTCGCATTGTCTCATTTGAGTTGATTTTAGTTATTGCGGTCCTCGGGTAAATTATCTCAGTAACTGTCTGGATGGCAAGTGTTTGTTAAACGAGGCTGGGCATCCGGCGGCCCAAGGCCAGTCACAAACCTGTGGAACAAATAATGTTACATTATTAATTAAAAAAAAAAACAATTTCAGATGTTTGGCCCTCGTAAATTATGTAACACAAATAAATGTTGAATACGGGTATCAAACCCACGACATAATTATTTCCCTGTAACCAGTTGCATATAGTGCACGTATGCACTAAAAAAAATTGGGATATTTTTTTGAATGATTAACTTATAATTCCTTCCTCCCCAGGCGAGGGGGCTGCATGAGGATTTCCTACATTGGGGTCAAAAAAAAGAAAAAGAAACCAAAGTAAAAATATATCTGTAGCACTCTAGTGCTTTAGATGTTCTTACTTTGTCACTCGACTATTTTGAAAATAAGTAATTAAATTGATTCTGTTCTCTCTATTGCGAGATGGTTATCGATGGGAATTTATATTTATATAATTCTGCAATCAATGTTATATAAGAAATGCAGTAAACGATATTTTATGGGTTTTCAAAAGAATATCAAAAATCTGTATTTATAGCAGTGAACTTGAACTTCAGTATCTTGTCGATAAAATAGATTGTAGATTGTATAATATAATTTTTGTTACAACAAAAAAATATTACATCTTTTAACGTTAACATCTGTAAGAAAATTTTAAGGCGGTGATACGTTGTTTTTTTTAATTACTTTTTTGAGCCACGACACAGTGCCTGTGTAGGTAAAAATAATGTTTAGAAAAAAATAAATATTCTGTGAAAATAGATCGGACATGCATCGTGCTTGACATGCACATCAGAGCTACGTATTCATATTATCGTGTTCAGAGATAGGCAAAGAACCAAGTTTAAGTTCATAAATAATTATGCAGAAAACCTTTGACATAAATTAAAAGGTTGTTGTGCTCATAAATATACAAGTCACACGTCACATTCGGATCAGAAACAAATATTTTTGGCAATCGCACACAGAATTGTTCCGTAAAGGAATCGAGCCCGCGATACGATGCGCAGTAACAAGTTGCTGTTGTTGGTGGAATATCAACCAATGACCTTCTCTTTGTGAGGCGAGAGGAAGTGTCAGGGATCCTGCTTTGTTCCGGAACCTAGGTGTATGACGATATAACCTTTAACCCAGGTAAGCAAGTCAATATTTTGGTGTCTTCAATTCCTCATTCCATCTAGGAATTATTTCACCCAAGTGACACCAGACCATTAAAGTGTAGTGAGGACAATAGGTGAAATTAAGAAAATCGTCTCCTTTATTCACCTGAGTGATATTACTTAAGCTTTCAGGTGTAAACCAAAGTGGAACAATCCACGCTGAGAACGTCTCCTGCGACGGCTGCAGGGTGCGGAAGTTCGTTCCTTCTCGGATTAGGAACAAAAGATGTTTGAAAAAGTTTAAGTCCCCTGCACATCTCTATTCATGAAATAATCAAGAAAACGTTGAGTACGCCCTATCAATAATACGTTAGGAGTCTCATTAAAGACCGAACCTTTTGTCATACGTCTGAAGCAATGCGAGAGATATCTAATATCTGTAAGAATATTCAAATATTTTATATTTAACAAGAGTGTTATCAATGAGTCTTTAACTTTTCTCTTACCTGAATCGTTCTGTTGAAATGTAAATTGGCGGGGCAGTGTCTCAACACCAAATCTCCCCAAACGCAGTAGTAGAAGGCGTTACAATCCGTTGGGTGAGGCAGCAGCCAGTGGATTAGAGGGTTCACAGGGCATCCATTGGGTAAGAAATCAACAGGTGTTGGCATGGTGGTGGTCGTCGTTGTAGTAGACGAGGTGGTTGAAGGTGGTGTCGAACTCGTTGTTGGCTGGGCAGGAATATTACGGTCCTCACAATCTACGTTTTGTGGCCAGTCACAACGCCATGTATTCAAGTTGAACCAAAGACCAGGCGGGCAACTCATCTCAACAGGCTTACCAGCATTACATTTATAAAATTTGTCACAATCGTCGTGTCTCAGCATCCATACAATATCCCAGTTTGTTTCCTGTTCTTTCGGGCATTCTTCCAATTGGGCCCGCCCCACGGCCGCGTACACGATGACCAATAATGTAATTATTCCTAAAAATATAAACAACTTTAATCTATATATGAAATATTAAAATACTAAAATATATTTATCAATTTCAAAAATGTCATATATTATTTTTTGTTTAGTATCGAACCGATCACTGAATTAAACTATTTTACAGATACGAACCTTTCATTGTGAGTTTCAGATCCAATTGAATACTCCAGCACCGCTTCTAATAAGTTTTATACCTTAACTAAAGTAGAAAATCATGTTCTTTTAATCTATTAGATGACTAGATGATCAATCAATCAATGCATTGTTGCAGACTATCTAAACTGTAATATAGTGTATACTTCCTAAAACAAATTAGTAAAAATTACATGATTTTGAAATTATTTGCTGTTGTGTTAATAGAATACATCCAACCTACAAATTTCTGAATTTTGTTTCAATTTCACAAAAGTTTAATTTCGTTTAAAACTGAATTACATAAAAACTGACTTTTCATAGAGGTAGTTACCATAAAAAAATGTCTTGACACCTGTTCATTATTTCCTATGACAGTAAAAATGAGATAACTAGACCGTTTTGGATTCCGTTATATACATAGGTATACATAAAAGGTAAATAAAAAGTCTTCCAAGAATTTAAATATATACTTTCAATGTAATTTGCTACATAAATAAAAAACGTTGTTTAGGTACTTTAAAATGTATTGTTCTTATATATTAACCCATACAGAGGGTTTGGCATTAAAGTTACGTTACGTAATAAAGAGAATTCAATTGGTAAATATAAAAACCTTAAAAGTAAATCTTGAAAAACTGAACATAAAGCAACAGATCAGGAAACTCTCTTAATTTCTATGTTAGTAATGTATGACGGTATAGATAGTGAATTCGATACCTGGTGACATTTTCCGTGTTAGATAATGTACATTTTAGACACGACTGACATGCGGTGAAGGAAAACATCGTGGAGAGATCTAGACTTATGTAGACATAGACTACAATTTCTAATTATAAGTTTGAAATATGCAATCCACAGTATTTTCTCAGCAGTGAGATAATCACAGACTGATTATGGTGATGACAATAAGTAAAGATTATGATGTATTTTATTGTCAAACTTCGTAAATCATTTCAAAAATAGATTTAAAAGCAGCACGTTATTTAATAGTCAGGTAGTATTCAAACCACGGTCAGTCAGCTCTGATTTAGGTAACAACCTACCATACGTGTCTATAAACCTATAGCGATGTAATATGCTTAAATGAATTAATGCGTAATCCTTAAATTATAATTTTAAATTTAGTCATCCAAGGTACGACCGCTTAAATATTCACAATATAGAATAAGGTAGATGACAAATTTTTCTTTTAATGTCCGTCTGGTAGATCGTTTAAAAACATTAGACATGTATTTTTTTCTTACGGAAACGAATAGTTTCGAAAATATTGATTTGAAATGTCGCATGACGTCACTTTTGAGTACGATTTATACTCTAAAATGATGTAGCTACGTCCTACGTTTGATTCGTTTTATCTAAGTAAGTATTGTTTTCTTACGTAGAATACAAAATAAAAAAATATGTGTCAAATTTTTTTTCATTACCTAACTGCCCTACTATACCT